AAAGCCCCAGTAGATAGTTGTGTGTCATAGCTGCACATCCTTCTAGTTGCTGTATGTGGGACACGGCCTCAGCATGGCCAGAGAAGCGGTGCGTCAGTGTGCACCCGGGATCTGAACCCGGGCCGCCAGCAGCAGAGCGTGCGCACTTAACCGCTAAGCCACGGGGCCGGCCCTAGCATCCCTTTTTGATTAAAACAAAATCCTAATTTGGATAAGATAGGCATCTCAAACAAACAGTATATTCAAATTTAAACTTCTGATTTTCTGCCCAAATCTGTCCCTCCTGCAGCCTCCCCATCTCAGTAAATGGCAGCTCCATCCTACACTCTATGTCCCATCCATCAGCAAGTTCTATTGATAATCTTCAGAATATGTCCAACCACTTCTCACTATCTTTACTGCTACATCTGGTCTCCTTGCTTCTACCCTTGCTCCCCTGAAGTCAGTTGTAGTCACGGTAGCTCAGGGATCCTAAATACCTATGGCTCAGAACTTCTAATGGTTTCCTATCTCAGTCAATAAAAACCAAAGTCATTACAGTGGCCTGCGTGGCCCTACATGACCAGGACCCCAGCCACCTCCTGACCTCTTCTCTGACCACTGTCCCCTCCCTTACTTTGCTCCAGCTGCAGGGGCCTTCTTGTTCCGTGTTTGTGATACTCGTGTTACCTGCACAGGATCTTTGCACTTGCTGTTCCCTCTGACTGGAAAGCTCTTCCCCTAGATATCCTCAAGGCTCTCTTTTTCTCACTTCAATCAGGTCTCTGCTCAAGTGTCAAAAGTACTTCTCTGACTACCCCAGAGTAATAGTACTCCATTATTATGCTTTATTTCCACTTACTTTTCTTTACCATTTCTCTTCCTTCATAGCACTTATCATTGCCTGAAGTATTAGGTCTTTATTTATGTGTTATCAGTCTCCCCCACTACAATGTCAGTTCCACAAGGGCAGCAACTTTGTTTTGTTCACTGCTGTGTCCCTGGCACCTCGAGCAGTACCTGTCATGAAGTAGATGCCCAATAAATATTTGAATGGTAACCCAAAAAAAAGTTGTTGAATGAGTGAATAAATGAATGAATGGCAGTACATGGTCATTTTTACCCGGGTGGGATCAGGAAGACTTTAGGCTCTATATAGGGGAATAAACAGCTTTCCCTTGTGTTGTACACAGTGGGAAATCTTTCTAACTCTAGGGCATAAAGATGGGGAACCCAAAGAGTTGGGAAGCCAGTGTTCTATTTTTTTTTTTTTTTTAAGATTTTATTTATTTATTTATTTTCCCCCCAAAGCCCCAGTGGATAGTTGTATGTCATAGCTGCACATCCTTCTAGTTGCTGTATGTGGGACGCAGCCTCAGCATGGCCGGAGAAGCAGTGTGTTGGTGCGTGCCTGGGATCCAAACCCGGGCCACCAGCAGCAGAGCGCAAGCACTTAAACGCTAAGCCACGGGGCCGGCCCATCCAGCCAGTGTTCTATTAAACTACCTGCTGTTTAATTTGTTTTCTAGATAATCACATTTTTGCCTGGGGCAATGGTGGTAATGGTCGCCTGGCAATGACCCCCACAGAGAGACCACATGGCTCTGATATCTGTACTTCATGGCCTCGGCCTATTTTTGGATCTCTGCATCACGTACCAGACCTATCTTGCCGTGGCTGGCACACCATTCTCATTGTTGGTAAGAGTTTCGTATGTGGGGGTTAAGGTGGCTTTGACAGAGGATAGACCTACACCTAAGGTACTAATGGTCCCATTCTTGGAAACAGGAGTGTCCTGAAGAAAAAAGCTTACTTCTTTAAGTCTTACAATGGTCAGTGATGCCAGACCTAGTGATAGAAAAAGAACATTGTCATTTCCTGAGCTTTGTCATCTGCCACCTCTTGACCATTTTTTAATGTGATAACCTTGGGCTCTGCCCTCCTCACCATATAATTTGTTACTTCTAGTCATCCACTAATTTGATGTCTGTGTTCATGCTTTTGTGAGAAACATTCAGTACACTTTTAAAAAGAAAGTCATAACTGCTTTCTGTATAAAGATTACTTTGTTATGAACTAGATTATAAATGCCTATGTGAGGGTTTACAAGTCCATTCTTTTAGATCAGTGGTTTGCAACCCTGGCTGCACATTAGAATCCTCTAAGGAGCTTCTTAGAAGTCCCATTATCCAGATCCTACCCTTGACCAATTAAATCAGAATCTCTGGGGTAGGACCTAGGCATTGTTAGTTTCTAAAGCTTCCCAGATGATTCCAAAGGTCAGCCAAGGTGGAGAATTGCTACTTTACATAGTGAATATGGTTAGAGTAGCTAGTGGTGGTTGGCTTATGATGTTAATATCTAAAACAATAAATAATAATTATAAAGTTATCTGGGGTCAAGGATAGCACTTATCTCCTAAGTTAACTCCCTACCCTAGTCTTCTCACTTTTTCTGCCTATAGCTGTATACAGTGCTTACCTACTGAATATTTTTCCTCAGAGAAAGTATTGAATTCTAAGACCATCCGTTCTAATAGCAGTGGCTTATCCATCGGAACTGGTAAGTAGCAATGTTTCAGGTATAAGTGGTTTTCTGAGGTGTGGGTCTTTGAGTTGGATTCCATGCAGTCTCTAAAACAATGAAAATAGGAAATATCTTTGGGAAATGAGGAATAGAGTGGAAGAGGGAAGATCTTACTTTGGTGGATTTCACAATAAGTTTTTATTTTTATTTATTTATTTTTTCCCCCAAAGCCCCAGTAGATAGTTGTATGTCATAGCTGCACATCCTTCGAGTTGCTGTATGTGGGACACGGCCTCAGCATGGCCAGAGAAGCGGTGCGTCGGTGCGCGCCCGGGATCTGAACCCCGGGCCGCCAGCAGCAGAGCACGCGTACTTAACCGCTAAGCCCCGGGGCCGGCCCAGTTTTGATTTTTACATCGTGGTCAGAGGGAGAGTACATCTTTGCCACCAAGCATATGGAAGTAATTAAAGTGGCTTGCCCAACATTGTAATGTGACTTATGTATTGTTCCTTTCCTTACTATGCTAGGGACTGTGGCTTCTGCCTACCCTTTACTTCCATGGTATTCCTAGAGGTATTCCAGTCTATAGAAATAGTCCTTCAAAACAGGCCTTAAGAATTAAAAGTTGGCTAAACTTTCAGTGTGGTTAGGAAAATCAGCCCAAAGCCTCTGATAGTTTTTCTTTAACTGCTTTCTTCTTGGTTCTCTGTTATTTTAGATCATGCCAGGAAATTGAATCTATGTTCCTTTTTGGTATTCCATTGCTATAGTACCTGTAGTCTTTGATGTCTCAGAACCTGGATTCTGATATTTTGTGGAATCAAAACAGATAAAGACCCAAAGTAAAAGCAGATTAATCCTCCAAAAAGCAACAGTTGAACATCTGATCTAGACTTGTTGAACTTCAGTTTACACATTCACATACATACATACACATATCATACCTTTTATTGGTTTCCTTAAATAATCCATTGCTTAGCATCTATTTGTACATATTAATATCTGTCACAAATGATAAAATAAGCTGTTCTATTACAGCTTTGTTTTGCTGGGACAGTATTTAAAGGAAAAATGTCATTAAAAAAGCACATATCCATTGGCCAGAAAATATAACTCCATAAGAGCAGGAATTTTTGTCTTTTTTATGCATTAATTTTATCCACATTGCCTGGAAGAGAACCTGGCAAATGGTATATGTTCAATAAGTATCTGTGACTAAATGTGTTATAATCATCCAATGGAATATTATACAAGAGGAAAATGAACAACATCTATAAATATTTCCATAATGTGAAATGTAAAAAGCAGATTTCAGCAGACTGCATGCCTTTGTATAAAGTTCAGAAACAAGCAAAATAAATAATATATTGCTTAAGGATACATAAATATGTGATAAAGTATTTTTTTTAAGAAGAAATAATAAATACAGAATTAATCAGTGGTTACATCTGAGTAGGAGGCCTGAGAAGGAAGGAATTCATAAAGGCAGGGAGAGTGATATAGGTAATGTTCTAGTTCAGGACTGTCCCACAGATCTTTCTGCAACAATGGAAATGTCCTATATTTGTGCTGTTCAGTGTAGTAACCACTAGCCACATGTAGCTATTGAGCACTTGAAAAATGGCTACTGTGACTAAGGGACTGAATTTTTAATTTTATTTAAATTTAGCCATATATGGCCAGTGGCTACCGTATTGGAAATCTGGTTATTCAAGTGGTAGATTCATGTATATTTATTTTGTTAGGCATCAAAAGTTAGACGCATGTTAAAAATAGTCTTATGTATATCTCAAATGTAACATAATTTTTAAAAGCTATTTAAAACAAAAAAGTGGGGCCAGC